AATAGGAATGTGTTGAAGATTATTAATACACAGGCAATCTTCACTCAGAAGAGTTCCAATATGTATATATTTTAGCTTGCTAGAATTTAGTTAAATAACACTAATTGAAATAAATATACTACAAACTTCACTGCTAGATCTTCAACCCACATATAATTACATAAATAAATTTTTGCAGTGACCAACTAAGTCAATTCTTTCAAAGTTGGTTACTTTCAGAGTCACTAAATATCTGTTATTCAGTCCATGTATAGACAGCAAAGCATAGTTGCATTTTTTCTCCTGATGAAATCTTACAAAAATGAATATTAAGAAGGAACTGACCAACAATGTGGAAAGGACAGCAGCAAAACAAACTCCAGTCGATAAAAATTCCAAACTAATAAGAACAGAGTTCTAAGAGAAACAGTGGAAATGTGTTGTGGGATAGTTGTACACTGTTGAAGGTGTACTGCTGTGATTGGTGCAATTAAAAGCTGAACGGCCAATAGCTAGGCAGGAGGTATAAGCAGGACTTTTAGGACTTCTAGGCAGAGAGGAAGTAGGAGGAATCTAGGCGCACAAGAGAGATTCAAGGAGACATGGAGGAAGCAGGCTGGGTGGTACATGACAGAATATAGATGAATAGAAATGGGTTAATTTAAGTTATAAGAGTTAGTTAAGAACAAGCCAAAGCTATAGGCCAATCTTTCATAATTAATAAGAAGTCTCCATGTCGTTATTCTGTCTCTGCTGGCTGGCAGGACAGAAAAAAAAAACAAACTTGTTGCAGAAATGTTAATGCTGCTATCATTTAAGGGGATAAAGATGAACTGCCTGAGTTCATCTTTAGTTTGCCTATAGTTAAGGCAAACTTTTCAACCTGATGAACACAACAGTTGTGGTGAAAAAGTGTGAAGATGACCCATAAGAATGATGGTGGCCAACAACAAACAAAACTAAGTCAATTCTAATTAAAGCAATTCTTGGAGGTATTTCACAATATAGAAAGTGCAAAGAATAAAATTCTAAAAGATTGTCCAAACTCAGAAAGGAAATACATTCAAATACAAAGTCAATGCATAGGGAATACATTCATTCCAAGTTATGTGTTGAGAAGCTACATTTGATAATAAGTTACTTTACAAAGAAAACACTCCTGTGTATGTGGACTATTTGTGGGAGTCAGTTCTCTCCTACCTTGTAGGTTTAGAGAATTGAATTCAGGTCACCAAAGTTGGCAGGAAGGTAAGTGAGCCATCTTGCCGGCCCTATTTGACAGCAGCTTTTAAAGTTTATCAAACAACTATAACTTTTATACTATGAATTACACAATTGTTTGGGGGCCACCAGGACTGATGAATTGAGTTTGGTCCCTGGAACTCATATGGTGGAAGGAAAGAACTGACTTCTGCAAGTCATTCATCCTCTTGCCTCCATACAATGTAGCATGTACACACTCCCTCCACCACATAAACAAAATATTATCAGCCAAGTTTTAGCTTGCATTGTTACTTGTATAGTCCAATACAAAACAGGAACCATTTATTCCTGTAACTTCTGGCACATCAGAGAGCTTGTTATTTCTTACCTAAAGAGATTCTCTTCCCTTCCCCCTGATCCTTCCAATCTTTTCAAATAAAAATAAATTTGAATCAATATGGGCTGATAGCTTTTAGCGGGGCAGTGGTTGCAGACACCTTTAATCCCAGCATTAAGGAGGCAGAGGCAGGCAGATCCCTGAGTTCAAGGCCAGCCTGGTCTACAGCCAAGGCTACACAGAGAAACCCTATTTTGAAAAACAAAATATATAGGTACATACATACACACACACACACACACACACACATATATATATATATTAAAAAAGAAGACAGCTTTCAGGACTGAGAGTTACCACTGCCACATCTGTGGTTCCCCAAACTCAATTATTATCCAAAATACACTGTAATGCTGAAAGATGACTGAATAACTTAAATGTTCCTTTGGTTTATCTTTTATGATAATATAGATTTCATATATATAGGATTTCTGTTCTTCTCCCTCGAATGCAAGGGCAAAACAATAAGTGTAATAAAAGCCATGATGGGGAAGCAAAAGTGCATAATAGATTTAGAATACAACCTCAATCTGAATACTGTTTCAGGACAATTCATTGCAACTTTAGATAAATTATTTCTTAAAAATAAATGTTCCTGGGCTGGAGAGATGGTTCAGCTATTAAAGGCTAGGCTCACAACCAAAAATACAAGAAATATATGCTCCTTCCAGTGATTGTGGCTCACTCTTGTGATCCAAGCACTTGGGATGCTAAGACAGGAAGTATACCAAGAGTCTGAGGTCAGCGCAGCCTACATACACATTGAACATCTGGAGTGTCTGGGTTACAGAAACCTTTTCACAAAACAAAACAAACTAAAAATTAAAAATAAATGAATATTTCAAGTTCTTAATCTGTGAAATGGGCATAATAATACCTTTAGAGATTTATTGTAAAACTCAAAAGAGATAAAAAAAAAAGGCTTAGCAAATTGTGATACATGGTGAGTACTTAGATAATAACTATTATTATCCTTAATAATACTATCATAAAAACTCACTAATGTAAATGTGATAGAGCTGCACAGGAGGACAGGTTAAGATGTATTATATTAATAAGCTTTTGCTTGCTTTTTGTTGTTGTCATTTGTTTTTTGAGAAAGTGTTTCATGTAGCAGAGTCTGGACTTGAACTCCTGATTTTCCTGCTCCCACCTCCCAGGTGCTAGAATTACAGGCATGTGCCAAAACACTCAACTTTTTAAAATCTGCATAATATTCAAAGGCCAAATACACTCCAAATTGATAGATATCCACCACTATATTATATGGTCAGACAACTTGACTCAAACTCCTTCAGGCCATTTCCTCCAGGTATGTACACAAAGAGTTCCCAACACACTGATTTAATCTCTTCTTGTAACCCTTTTGATTGCTATGCCAAAACCTTCCTTCGGTCTACTCAGTTTCCTCTTCTGAGGACATGAAGAAGTAAAGCCATTTCCCATTTCTCAGAGCTATGTGCCAAAATACTAGTATCTTCCTCTCTCACAGTTCACATGACTCAACTGTCAGTTTTCTCTTTTGATTCTAATCTAAAACCTTGTTTCTGAACTAAAAGTCATTTTTTAACCTATGTAGATTAATAAAACTGAATAAGGTTAGTTCCTTTACTACACAGTTCCTCTTCAAACAAAAGACTAAGGTAAGGAATGCCTATTTTAGCGCTTTCAGTGACAAAAAGCTCTTGCTCCCTTACCCCCATGCCAAATTGTTCTAAGACAGTATTATTTGTTAGAAAGTTTTCCCTTGTGTTGAAGCAAAAATCTTTCCTCTTACAGTTATTTTCTGCCATCCACTGCACCTAATTCTACATTCTAGAGAAACTGAGTGAACTTCAAGCCCATCCAATATTTGAAGACTCCTAAGAGGGGAAAATAAAAAGCTGCACACTTCCAGTTCAGAAAACATGATTTTAAGTCTCCCTAGTGGTCATGAGCCTCTGATATTCTTGCCAAAGCTATGTAAAAACGAACTGGCAAAGTGATTCCTTTGCCTTGGGTTGCCAAGTAATAAATGATTATTTTGCCCGTTTTCTCATTTACTGTATAAAAATTGTTAAACTAGTAGTTCAGAAAAAGTGGTGCTCAATCTATGGCACTAAAATCCTGAAAACTGCAGGATCATCTGGCATGAAACTTGCCATTGAGAAGGACTCAAGAATGGAAATGTTAGAAGGAGAATTTTGCATCATGGCCTGGTAAAGTGGGTTCATTCAAAAGAAGGCAGTAGCAGCCAAAGACTATTCTCTGCTCCTTGCCAGAAACAAACAAACAAAAAGAATGATCAAACACTGTACTCTCAAAAGCTGACCAAACTGGATGGAAGAAGTGGCAGATTTCTTTCTGGCCTGGTAGGAATAATCATCTAGGAAATGAGAGAGAGAGAGAGAGAGAGAGAGAGAGAGAGAGAGAGAGAGAGAGAGAGAGAGAGAGAGAGAGAGAGAGAGAGAGAGAGAGAGAGAGAGAGAGAGAGAGAGAGAGAGAGAGAGAGAGAGAGAGAGAGAGAGAGAGAGAGAGAGAGAGAGAGAGAGAGAGAGAGACAGAGACAGAGACAGAGACAGAGAGAGAGACAGAGAGAGAGGAGGGAGGAGAGAGAAGAGAGAGACAGAGACAGAGAGAGAGAGAGAGACAGAGACGTCCCAGGGAGGAGAGAGAAGAGAGAGACAGAGACAGAGAGCGCGACCCAAACCTGGCCAGCAATGCAGATCTAGCAGCAGCAAATCGCAGACTCTGAAGGCACATTTGTGGAAATAAGTGTCCTCAGATGACCATTAACCCCTAGAAAGTCTGATAAGCTAGACGCAGAGGGGAGCAGGGAGACTTAGTCTCTCGTGCATTTTGGGAGAGAGGCTGGTCTGGAGCAGGAAGGTAGTGATAAGGTGTTCTGGCTTCCACTTCTGGTGCAAGTGGCGATCACTGCCACTTGCAGACACCGGAGTAAGGGTGGGAGTTGGGGGCGGGGGGACGGGG